TCCGCTACTGCTAAAAGGTGAAAACCGTTTCACTCCCGCCGTCCTAAATTCGAGGTCCTCCGAGAAAATTTCAGTCCAAGGCGGGACCTTTACCTTTCTTGTCACGCTCATAGGCTCTGACTATCTCGGGAGCAGTCTCTAGAAGTTCTGCTTTCGTGAACCAGTGGTCGTCTTTTGGTTCCTGATAGGCAAACCGGACTTTATACTGTTTCTGGGGACAACCTCTACCTTCTGTCCTAAACACATCCTCTTCTACAATTCCCTCTATGTCATAGCTTCCATCCATATCTGGTGGGATCATGGATCTCCTGGAAGGGAACTGTTGACTTGTGACACACGACAGCAGCTTTGAAGCATGAAACACAGGGTATGTGTGGAGGTGTGCTGAAATCTCAATGCTGTAGGACGGTCCATCCTCTCCGCCCTTGACTTCTAGAACCTTTAGTCCTAGCCTCAACTTCTTCAGCGCCCTACGGCTGATATATTTACGGGTAGCCCCTGAGTCTATAAGGGCCCCTACCCTACTCCTAAACACCTCTACATCTACCAAAATCGGCTGTCCTTTACTCTCCTTCTTCATTTTGGCCCAGACTGGCATCCTCTCCTTTAATTCTTCTGCCACACCTGTGAGGGACGTGCCTAAAGAGACGCTTACACATGCGGTCTCTGGACAGCTATCTAGGCACGGGCCTGCAACCTCTGCCATAGGCTCATGTGGGTTGGGAGTGTCCTGTTCGYGCGCGCTCACTTCTCCACATGGCCTTGAAGTAGGGGCAGTTGCGACCCCTACTGGCGGCTGTCTTTTGACTGCTGGGCAGCCCAACGGGCCGGTCTATACTTTGGACAAAATTTGATAACGTGGGCCGGGTCACCACAGAATACGCACTGACCAATGTTCACGCGTTTTTGCCATAATTGTCGGTCCAAGCCCAAGTCTTCCCAGGGCCTGCCCTGTGGCAAGCCTGGGTGCCAACCTCCTTGAGGTGCTCTTCCACCTCTTTGTTGTGGGGACCGATTACCCTGACGATTTGACGAGGGACCTTGACCCCTACCTCCCGCTTGGCGGTTTCCCTGTCCACCAACCCCCTGTGCGCCCGGTCCTCGGCCTCCCATGGCCTGGCCCCTTTGGCCCTGGCCTCCTCCTCCTCCTTGCGGCCTCCCTCCAGCCGCGACAGCAGTGTAAGACCTCCCCTGCCCCACACTACTGCCATCATCTTCRAGGCCCCACTCAATCTGATCATACGAGACCTCATCAGTACCACCTTCCTCTAACGTCAGGATCATGTGATCCTTGGCCTTTACTTGGCCTGAGATAGTACGATTCTTCCACTTCTTCCCCTTCTCYAGGTCCTTATGCCAGAAAGTGGTAACTGGCATAGACTTTGACTMATACAGGACGACCTCCCTACTCAATTGATCGTATGTGATGCCGGCCTGCTGAGACTTGTCAAAGAAATGCCCGCGTAGGGCCTCTGGGATGGCACGATAAAACAACTGGACCAACTGGGGCTCGGTGACCCCGTGGTCCGGGACGGCTACCAAGTCCTCCATAGTACCCTTGAGTGCCTTAGCACTCCTCCATTGCCGAGAGTGAATCGTTTGAAGCTTATCAGAGGCTCTAATGCCTCGTGTTGGGTCAGCGAACTGCTCCTTGAGGAGCTTGAGGAATTGGAAGAGAGGAGTGACTTTGGAATACGCAACCAGGTTGTTTTCACAACCGGCTGTACGCACAAGAGACCTGGCGAAGCTAGCCGCTTCATCTTTGAGGGTCTGGAAGGCCACAAGGACTTGTTCCTCGGCCAAGATATGCTGCAAGTAAATATAACTATTGACACTGGCTTCCCAGTTGTCAAAGTTTTCTTCCTTCTTTCCCCCGTACGCATCCGGAAACTTAAGCTTCACTGGGTCCTTACGGGGCCTGGCCTCTCCCTCTGCGGCGRCTACAGCTTTGGCACCCTGAATGGCRCCCTCACAAAACTTCCCGACATTGTCTCTCAACTGTTTGACTTCGCCCCCAATATGGGTGAYGATCTCGCGCGCAAAGTCTCTAAACCCTGACCGCATGGCACTCAAGGCTACATCTTGGCTCCAACTTGCCTGGCGCTCTTCCATCCAGGCCTTGCTCAACACCTCTAGATAGCCCAGTACCTTGTCCCACTTGGCCTTATCATCTGGCTGGGCCAGCACCTCCGCTCTACACTCCTGCACCCTTGCCACTACTGCGGTCATCTTATTCACTTCCTCTCTCCTCCTCTTCTTCTCCCTCTTCATTCTCAACTTCCATGTTAACTTTTGCTCGTCTTCCCTCTCTCTTCGTTCCATTGGGTCGGTCATGGCTGCTAGCTCAGTGGCGAGCGCAACCTTCTCATCCTTAGTCACATAGGACTCCGCCTCCTTGTCTTCCCCCAACGATAAATTAGCGACCCACTCGCTGATCTTCTTCTCCAGCTCAGTGTCTGTCTCCCACTTCATCGTGCCACCACTGCTCCCTTCTCCACTCTCAATTCTCATTCTCTCTTTCTCTTCTTCTGCTGCCGCTTGTGCTTCAACAGCCTTCCTTCTTTCTTCCTCCTCCTGTTGTACCCTCTTCATCTCCTCCTCCAACCTCTTCATCTTCGCCGCCTACTCATCTGCGATAGCCTTTAGCTTCGCCTGCTTCTTGCGCTCTTTTCTCTCTTTGTTCTCTCTGACTAAGGCGGCCATCTTTTCTTGCTGCTCCTTGCTATAGGGGTTAGTCTCTAGCCCAGTACGGGTCTCAACCATGGTGATAGGTGCACAATCAGGATGATTCCACTCCTCACCACGTAGACTCTGATCCCTGACTGACAAACCTATTGACTCAATCTAATGACTCACAGAATCCTGACAGGGATCCTGCCAACTAGGATCTCTAGCCTAGACCTATACTATGGCTGTCACTACTGAACCAGTGGCTGATCAGGAGGCATTTAAGGAGATCCCCCGTAACTCCTCAAGAATTCTTTAACGTCGCAGACAGGACGACGTGATCAGCTTGGTTCTGCCTGTGCTTTCAACCCACAACTCAACCTTTCCGGCCTACTGTGCCACACCGAGCAGCCCGCCGCTCTGTACCGGTCCTTGGGAGGGTTTGTATCCCTCGGGACAGTCGAGTCGTTAGACACAGATCATCAGCCTTACTTGGTCTGGTAGGGGAGTGGTTCCAACAGGCCGTCAACACTTAAAGACGGCCTCCGTTTCAGCCCGCAGCTCAGAGTTCGGACCCTCTACACTGAAACTGAGCAGACCTGCCGGACAGTACCGGTCATTGGGCTAGACGAGTTGTTTAACGAGCGCTCGCCGCTCATGCCCATGTCTCCAGATACCAGAGTAGAGATTAGTCCTACTAAGTATCGTGCAGGTTTGGCAGCAAGGCCCTATCCTTCATCCACAGAGTTCTATGACCTAGGACAGAAGAGACTCAATGCAGAAAGAATAGRCAGACAGACTGTACTCAGCAAGTACCAAGGGGTATGTGCATATCCATAGGGCAAGGGGCAGGCTAAGGGCTTGGCGAGATGTTACCAACTCCAGCTTAGTCAAAGTCTTGGTCACCGCCTTGGTCAACGGCCTTGGTCAACGCCGGTCAACTCTGGTCAACGACTCCGGTCAACCCTCTCGATCCACTCCCCGGTCAGCTATGGCTGCCGGCACTTCTTCCTCGCCAATCCCCTTCTTCTTCCTTACCACCCTCGCCTCCTTTCCCCTGCTGTCTTCTTCTTCCTCTTTT